TTTTTTCTTTATTTTTTTAAAAACCCAGTAAACTAGACATCATGACTAGCAACACCGCACCAAACATCAACTTTAAATGGGACCCGAAGAGCCTAGAGATCCGTACTCTGGCAGTAGAAAGGCTACTGGAGCCTCTGGTCACACAGGTAATACAACAAGTATTAATATTATTAAAATGAGGCACCTTACACATCTTATTCCTGTGGTTCATTCTTGCATTTCACCATTTTAGAACTGTTATTTTGCCTTACTATGTCATATGTTGTTTGTTTGGTTTTTGTTTTTTGGGGGGGTTTAGACTTATCACGATTTATTAACTGTAGGCAGGTATATAATATCCTAATAATCTCTGCCATAGGTCACCACTTTGGTAAACACCAGCAATAAAGGCCCATCTAACAAGAGGAAGGGACGCTCTAAGAAGGCCCATGTTTTGGCTGCATCAGTGGAGACTGCTACCGAGAACTTCCTTGAAAAAGGCGAAAAGATTGCAAAGGAAAGTCAGTTCCTCAAGGATGAGCTGACTGCTGCTGTGGAAGATGTCCGCAAGCAAGGTATATTGAAAATACGAATTGCAGCAGTGTGGCTTCATGCTTGTACAGAGTGCCTCTTAAGATAGGACGGATGAAAAATAAACCATAAGCTATGTATACATCATCTGCTCCAGCAAAAATCCTTGAAATAAGAATATGGTTTGAGTCTGATAGATTTCTTTTAGAAATGGGCTTTTCAATGAGGCCATTAATAGACTTTCAGTTTAAGCATGCACATGGTTCAGATTCATTTCATGCTAGATGGTGTCATTCCCGTACCTTCTGTGGGGATCAAATTTAACCACTTTTCCCAGAGAAGCCTGCGTGTTCTCTTAGCGCAGTGTTAGGATACTCCCCAGTTATCTGAACTTGAGAATCAACCTCACCATATTCAGTGTTGTATTTTCTGTGCTTCCTCCCGTTTCTTGTCCTTTGTTTTTGTTATAGAAGGATACCAAGATGTGGTTATATTATAGAGGTTTGCATAACATCAAATCAGTACCGTATTTCCCGGACTACAGAGCGCACCTGAATATTAGCCGCACAAGCTAAAATCAGGGGAAAATCCTGTTTTGTACATACATTAGCCGCACCTGACTAAAAGCCGCAGGTGTTTCAATGTTGACTTATCATATGTAAGAGAA